TCTGTAATACCATCAAACATCCACATCTGCCTATCCCAGGTCCTTTGGAAGGACTCGATGGGTAGACAAAAATTCAGTCTGAACATCTGGCTGACTGTGTGATGATCCATAATAATAATACAGTTGGAAGGGACCTTGGAGGTCATCCCCCTGCTCAGGCAGGAAACCCTATACCATTTCAGACAAATGGCTGTCCAGTCTCTTCTTTAAAACTTCCAGTGTTGGAGCATTCACCGCTTCTGGAGGCAGGTTGTTCCACTGGTTGATTGTTCTAACGGTCAGGACATTTCATTTTACCATCTCAGGATTTAGTACAGGAACCCCATCTTCATCTTTTCCCAACCTGGGACCAATCTAATGGAAGAAGTTCTGAATTATCCAGGGATTAGAGGTCTGCTTTGTACTAACTGGATTTAATTCTGTTTAAAGCACAAACAGACCCTGTGGATTTGGCCTGCGTTTAGGGCATTTTTCGCGGAAAGGGAACAACGGCAACAGGGTCTGCGCAGACAAAAGTTTTGCCTGTCGACCATTTGCAACATATGTTTTGAGGGCTGGCTGGCAAATCATCTTCAGAAATCAGAATGCATGGACAATTTCAGTGAACAAGGAACAAGGGAAGCACGAATTTCATGGTTAGGGGACTGAGGACTAAAAGACATGAAGAACAGTTGCAAGGATTGGGTATATCCAGTCTAACAAAAAGAAGGACGAAGGGGGACACGATAGCAGTGTTTCAATATCTCAGGAGCTCCCACAAAGAAGAAGGAGTCAAGCTATTCTCCAAAGCACCAGAAGGCAGGACAAAAAACAATGGATGGAAACTAATCAAGGAGAGAAGCAACCTGGAACTAAGGAGAAACTTCCTAACAGTGAGGACAATTAACCAGGGGAACAGCTTCAGAAGTTGTGGTTGCTTCATCACTGAAGGCCTCTAAGAAGAACCTGGACAGCCACTTGTCTGAAATGGTCTAGGGTCTCCCTTCCAGCTCTATTTTGACACTAGAGAAATGTACACCCAAGTGAGTGGGCCTGAAAACCCAAGAGAGCCCATGCGACAATTCAGATCGCTATGCAACACACATATACAAGCATGTCTAGTGTTTGCTGCTCTCTACTCCACTTTTTCCCACTTCTGCTACACCTCCTCCTCCTGCTCCTCCAACTCCTCCTCCTTGTGCATTAGGCAGCTTCAGGCTGCTTTATTGCCACTGATGACCACACACACCCTTCCTGCTTTCCCAGCACAACAACACCCAGCTTCTTTCTCTGCCTCAGCCAACAGTTGCTGTGCTGTCTAGGAAACCGAGTAACAGCAGCATAGACCAGTGTTTCTCAACCTTGACAATTTTAAGGCATGTGGACTTCAACTCCCAGAATTCCACAGCCAGCATTGCTGGCTGTGGAATTCCGGGAGTTGAAGTCCACATGCCTTAAAATTGTCAAGGTTGAGAAACACTGGCATAGACACTGACCATTTTGTAGGCATCTTGGTCATCTCACATCATCTAACGCTTTGTCGTTTTAATGCGGGGGAGAAACCAGACTATCTCGATGTGACATCTCAGCTTCCCTCGACTTCCCACTTAGGATTACTCTGAGACCCTCAAAAATCTGGCTGATGAATTAACAGAATAACAGAGTTGGAAGGGACTTTGGAGGTCTTCTAGTCGAACCCCTGCTCAAGTAGTAGGCCCTACACCATTCTGACAAATGGTTGTTCAATCTCTTCTGGCATTGTCTGGCATTGAACCTTGCTTTGATCATGTGGAGGAGGGCAAGCAGTCCCCAGGGCACCCCTACCTCTTCCTTAGTTATGGGTTCAGTAGTCATATTCCTGTTTAAGAACACATTCGCTTGTGTCCCACTGCAATCTGTTTCTCTACCATGAAATCAAGACCTTGTTCTGTTCTGTTTTCTTATCTTTGCCTTTTTGGTGCTTTGGAAAATAAGTTGACCCCCTCTTCTTTGTGGCAGCCCCTCAAATATTAGAAGACTGCTATCACGTCCCCCCTAGTCCTTCTTTTTTCTAGACTGGCCATTCCCAGTTCCTGTTCTTCATATGTTTTTGTCTCCAGGTCTTTAATCATCTCAGTTGTTCTTCTCTGCACTTTTTCCAAAGTCTCAACATTTATTTATTATTTTTTGTAATGTGGTGACCAAACCTGGATGCAGTATTCCTTGTGTGGTCTTACTAAGGCTTTATAAAGTGATACTAATCCTTCCACGTGATTTTTGATTCTATGCCTCTGTTTATCCACCCCAGGATTGTATTAGCCTTTTTGGCTGCTGCCTCGTAAAAGAACTTATAATAGTGACCTTTTACATTCTTTTCTTTTTAGGACAACACTCCTCAACCGAGCCTGAGAATTGGGACTTTGGATTTTAAAGCACACTCTACAAACACTGTTTTAAAAAAAACAACAAAAACTCCTGAATGACTTGGTTTGTGAAAAGAAGGCCTCGCTGGTTGGGGTCTGTTTTGTATATATATATACATATATAGGATACCTTTTATGAATGACTGAAAACACAAAATGTGCTCGAACCTATTTCAAGTCAACTTTAAGGCACTTAATGAAGGTTTTTGGTTGGTTTGTTTTTTTTTTTTTAAAAAAAAGTCCAAATCAAGGGCAGGGCCCTGGTCTCAAGAGTTGAAATGGACTGTGGGGGAAAGTAGACTCCGTGGTGATGTCTTCTCCAAGGGCCATCGCGAAGCTTTATTTTGATGCGTGACAATTTCTACCCAACACTGTACGTGTGCGATCTCCGAGGGAGTCGGTACACTCACTTCTAAAAGTTCCCCTCGATCTTGCGTGTGTGCCTGGCGCTTCCTGGTGAAGAGCATCGTGGTCCTGCGTGTGCCTGGCATGTTCGTGGCGTGGAAACCGCTGACCCAAAAAAGGCAACCGAGTTGATTTCAGGATTAGCCCAGGTTGATTAACTACAAAACTTTAAGCACGGAAGCCTTGGTCAAACTACACACCCGTTTAAGTGAACTGATATTCTGATAATTGTGCTTCTTCTTTACTGCCAAGTTTCTAGCTATACTTTTCTTCTCTCTCCCCCCCCCACCCCTGGGTTGAATCTGGTGAAGGAGGCATCAGCCTAGAGAGATTTAAAAGGGTAAATTTGTTTGTCTCAAGGCTGCCATAGATAAGTCACTTTTGGTTTTTTTTTGCTGCAATATATTTCATAGGGTCATTCTTACAGAATCATCCTGGGTTTTGTTTGTGTTCTAATTTTTTTATTTGTTTACCCCCAGTGTCGTGGCGGATGCCTTTGCCTTTCTACTTAACACTACAGATGTACAAATCCTTTCGGAAATGTACAAAGCTGCTTAACACCCCCCCCAAAAAAAAACCAAATTGTTACATTGTCCATTCCCACGTCCACGAGAATCGTGGTTGCTTGGGAAGCTATATGCATGCATGCACGGAGTTACATAGATTATCCACCCCCCAATCCCCCAGTGAAGTGGAAAGCATCACCTGGAAACATACTCTGCAGGGTATGGTTTAAAGAAAATTCAATATGGTGGTCACGGACGAGTGACAGAAGCCATATCTGCACTGCCCCACACGCATAACAAAAGGGCAGAGTTCCAATCGCACCACCATGGATGCTACGTTGACTTTTCTCATCATACCTTGAGGAGTCTTCCCGATGCTGTGGGAAATTTGGGCAAAGAGGCGGCTGTTTTAAAAGGCTTAGTAGTTCCAAAGCAGCGTCTTCAAAAGTTCTGCACAGCCCTACTTGAAACAGCCGACAAAATCAATTAAAATTTGCCCAGAATCTAATCCTAAAGACAAAGATGTTAGGTTGGCGGCTTGTTCAAGTAACTGTGTAGAGAAATGTGGAAAAGTGTGGTACAAGAAGACTGAGCTAAATCTTTCTCCCCAGATAGCAGGGTTTTCCGTTGACTTTGGGTTGCTAAAACAAGGGAACTTAAAGTAAGTACACAAAAGGAACGTTCCTTGTCGCCTGCTCCTCCTGCAGGGACTGTAGCCCCAAGGGGGCCTCTTTGAAGGATCAAAGGGCCTTCATGAACATGTGGCTAGGCCATGTTGAAGTGAAGGAAACTGCAAATTTCTTTAAAAAAGAGAAAGATCCAATTCTGAGGAAGCTCTGCCGGCAGGGCAAAAGTAGGGAGAAAGGAATTTTTAATCTCTCCTTTCTCAAAATACAGAATTTGTTTTTTCGCCTGCAAGCCCTTGGTGGCATCTACACCACCTTAGAGAAATATTTGGCTGACCTTGGATGGGAGTAGATAATCCTAGAAGCTAGACTGAGAGGTTTAAAAATGCCGCAGCCCACATTATTAATCATATCTATATATTTTTTTCAAGAAAGTTTCTTGGATATGTCCATGGGTTGAGGTTGACTTAGAGAGAGTCCAAGGAGACTCAGCAGACCCTGTTGACCAGCTCTCAGCCTGCCTCGCTTCTCTCTTTGGCTTTTAGACCTGGACTGCAAACCTGCAAAGGATCCTCAGGGGGCAGCCACGGGTTACAGCAAACCCTTTGCTGCCATCTGGTGGCTGACTCCATTTTTGCAGCTCAGATGTGACTGCCCCGTATTTGATCAACCAACCTTAGAAGCTGGTGGTGCAGGGAAGGAGAGTGATGTGCCTGTAAAGCTTTCATCCCTACTTTGGAAAGGAAATCAAAACTAACACACACACACACACACACACACACACACACACCTTATAACTCCAGAAATGCTCTCCAAAGGACCAAAGATTGCAGCTTGAATGAGCTTGTTGTAGGAATGCAAGCCAACTTTCATTTTCATGGGGAGCCTTCAAACCCATCATCCCCAGCCTGATTTATCCCAGATTAAGCTTCCCTGATGCATTTCCCCATTGTGTTGCAGTATAAAGGGACTTTTTATCAACCGGAAGAGAGTATTGGTACCCCCGTCACAACAACACAACACACAAGGATTCTTTCCTTCCTTTCTCTGGCCTTAATCGTTCTAGCAGCCTAGCTGCCCCCTCTTACATCAAGAAATTAGTGCCTTAACAAGGTACTGAAAACCTTTAGCGTACCTTCTTTTATTACAATTCCGCGTCAGAAACAAGCAAATTAAAAACTAGGGATGTCTCAAAAAAAACCACCAGCTATCGCTTTGTAAATAACCTGGAGGATACAGATCAGACAGAATAAGAGTCTAGCTTTCTCTGGAATTTTAACGGTGCAGCAGAACTTATTTTTCTTACAAAAGACAATAGGAGAATTGTTCATTTTTTTTCTTTGTTTGTTTGTTTGTTTCCCCCTTAAGACAGTTTTACCAATGTTAAGAACTTTTTTTCATTTGCGTCTGAATGTGTTCGTCGGGGATATAAAATTTGAAGGAATCAAGAGTCTTGAGCAACCGGTGGTGGGGTATTGACTATTATAACCCATAAATACAAAAATCAGCTTGCTGGATTTCCTTAAATCCAGTGGTGGGATTCAGCTCACACCAGTTCGGCAGAACCGGTAGCTAATTTTTTGTTGCCCAGGCCCAGAATGGACTTCCGGAAGCGGCGTCCACACAGAGAACCGGTTGTTCACCTGTTTGAATCCCACCCCTGCTGAAATCCACCATACAAGCTCAGAAGAGATGCTGAATGACCATCTTTCTGGTCTGGCGAAAAACACAAAATGACAGCATCTTCTCTTCGTCTTGGCTACTAGCTAATGGATATACAGATAACTCTATCTGTATAACCCAATAGAGTAACTCTACATTAAGAGTTAAAGCCATCACGGAGCTTGGTAGATTGGGACAACTTTAAGAAGGAAAGAAAAATCGTGCTGCCTCCTTGCTAGAGTCTCAAGAGGAGGTAAATTGCTCATTGAATATATTTATTTATTTATTTTTTAAAAAAATCTCCCGATCGATTCAATTCATAATTATTCTGGCTGTATTGTGCACTAGAATTGACCGTCTTCACTCTTGCTACATCCTTGGATCCTGTTACGGAATTGAGACCGCGTATTTTTTTTTAAAGTTATCTGGGACATCTGCCATGTTCTATTTCCATTCGAACCAAGTTTTAAATGTGTATATATTTATATATATATTTCGGTGCCTCCTGTTTATTTATTCTGTTCTCAATGTGTTTTTTCTTCTGATCATCATGAATCTAACTTTTTGCTTTCCGAGTTTTAAAATTGCATTAGTTTCGGTGGGGGGAAAAAATAAATAAATAGAGGCGAACATTCAAGCCGGTGCAAATAAAGGCTTGGAAGGCCAAAATGGGTTGAGACAGATGGTCCTTGACTTACAATTCATTTAGTGACCATTTGAATTTACAACTGCACTGAAAAAAGCGACTTAGGACCCTTTTTCACACAGCATCCCCGTGGTCACATGATCAAAATTCAGACACCCGGTAACTGATTCACATTTATGACGATCACGGTGTCCTGGGTTCATGTGATCCCTTCTGACAAGCAAGATTGTAAGCCAAGGACCAACTGCATTGTAGCTACTATAACTTTTTAAGGCAGCCTTGTTCCTTTCCTAGGAGAAAACGCAGCTGCATTAAAAAAAAGTTTGCAGATATATGCTCTGTTCTCACCTTTGGCTTCCAAATCCAATTGGTTAGATGGGTCTGTTATCCACACAGGCAAGCTAATTTACTTGATTTTGCTCAGCTAAACCATGGTTGGCTACTCTGTGGTTCAGCTGTGGCCAGAAGGAAAAAAAAGCCACTGCGTCAAAGTAAACGGCTTAAAAAAAATTGGATAAAAGCTGAAAAACAGTTTGGCTAAGTCAGAGAAAGAGAGATAAAACAGTCCCCATGTGCTACAGCGGGGGAAAAAAATGTGGGAAAAAAATAATGAAGCTAGCCAGTTCTGTTTAAAATATATATTCACTCTAAAACGTACGTCTAAATCACGGGAATTCCATTAGTCCATTGTTACTCCCCAGCTTTCAAATTTAAATTAGGAGAAACCCTTTTTAATTTATTCAGTAATGGTTTACCATTTTACATTTATGAGTTCCAAATGGAGGGCCGTTAAAATGCTATGAAATGTGTGCATATGTACATGTTATATGCACAATAAATAAATCTTACTTCATTCTTTTGATCAATATATCACAAAGTCTATCCAGCTGACTCAAAATACATTTTGCCGAAAGCATTTCGCTACTTACATTCAAACTGTTCAGGATACAAGGAGAAAGCAATGAAAGAAACAATGAAATTGATTTACACCAATCACAACAAAAATACTATGAATTTATAGAACAAAATCCCCACGAAGGCAGGCTAGAATTAATGGCTTGTTTTATTGGTTGAGCTGCTATTTTTCCCTATCCCGAAGTATTGATTTTCGATCCCAGTGGGGAGAAAAAAATATATATATTTGTACTGTATTATTTCAATAAGTTTTGTTTTGTTTTTTTCTTTTTTGCACTTTGAGAGGTGTCAAATCCTATGAAAGGGATTGTACATTTGGCTTTGTTGATGTATTTGACATTTACAACAGGATGCTTCAA